AGACAATTCAGAAAATCGGGTCATGTGTCTTCAGAGTCCATAGACACCTGACATACAGGCCAGCATGAAAGCTTCTTCAAGGTGACTTTTTCCTTTCATGCTCCCTTGGGGACTTCCCAGATGAACATATATTTTCTGACAAGGGACACGGATGGCTCTCTGATTCCTCTGGGAGCTGAATTCCATGGAGGCTGCAGTCTGGCCTCTCCTCCCTGTGCAGGCATTAGACCCCCAACCCCCTGCAAGGGCCTCGGCCATTTCACCTAACTGCTAACTGTGCCAACTCTGAGAGCATCTTTATTTCTAGCACAAAATGACTTCCCTTCCTTAGCTCTGGCTCAGCATTGCTTCCTGGTTTTTATTTTGGTTGTATTTTTTCCAGCGTGTGTTGTGTGTTTGGAGCAGGCAATTGGGAGGCTGAAACTTATTTCTTATCAACTCAGTCTGCCATATTGCCTCGAAGTCCAAAACAGTCTGCTAAGAGAGGCTTCTGGCACCCACGGTCACTTCCTGAAAACCAAAGTTGGATTTCAGACATGCCAAGTGTGAGCTGTCAAAGGAACATGTGAGCAGAGGGCTCTGTGGGGCAGGCGTGGGAACGCGGGCCCAGGGCTCCGGAGAGAGGCGGGAGAGGAAGGAGGCAGCCACCGCTGGGGCACAGAGGTGATGCCTGAAGCTTTCCAAGCCAGTGACATCCCCAAGAGACGGGAAATGGATCGGGGAGGGTGGGAACTGGGGTCAGAGCCTCCAGAACACTTACATCAGGGGAGAGGGAGGAACAGAAGCAGGCGGGAGGAGCCCACTGCCAGGAGGGCAGGAAGGGAACCAAGCCAAGAGAAGAGATTTTTTGAGAAGAGGGTGACAAACAGTGTCCAATGTTGCGACGATGTCAAGAGAGATGAAGGTGGCGGAGTCAGCAGAATCCATGGTCGGGAGCTTCTGAGAGGCAGTGCAGGCAGAGCCACTGAAGAATGTCTGGGAAAGGAGCACCTGGAGAGTGCAAGCATTGGTCTCCTCTGCCTTCCATCTCCTCACCCCTCACCGTCTCACCTCGTAAGGCTTGGAAAAGCCTAAAACAGACAGCCCATGCCTGTCACCACCTTCTCAACATCAGAATGGGAAACTTCCTGGATGAAATACAAACACATCTGCCTCCTTAGGATATTTTCAAAGTAGCCATTCCCAAACCTGCAGCTCCATGACCCTGTGCTCCCAGATGTGTGGGAGAGAGAGCCCCGTTCCCAGAAGTTCCCTTTCCAGGCCACCACCCTGCAGACCAGGCCTCCTGGCCCATCAACTGAGATGTCCTACCAGCCAGAAACATCACTTTTCACTTTGCTGCTGATGAGTAAAAATCTCTGGATCAATTTAGCAGGAAAGAGTGAATCATAATAGGAACGTGCACAGAGGAAGCTCTGTGTGTTTGTGTGCGTGTGTATGTGTATAGCACATGATCCTAATTACTATGAGGAGTGACTCACCCATTCTCCAGGAATCCCATACCCACAGGTCACTCATGAATAAGCCAGTCTCCTCTTAGGACCAAGTTTCACCATTTTCCCAGTTGTTCAAGTGCAAAACCTAAGAAGCATCCTTCATTCCTTTCTTTTCCTCATCTCCAACATCTCATCCATCACAAGTCTTGCCAACCCTGTCTTTCCCTATCAGTCTCCTGTTCTCCATGTCCACTGCCACTTCCTCCTCTGGGCCAGCATTGCCTCTCTCCTGGATTCTGCCCTAACCTCCTAAAGAAGCCCCATTCCCACTGTGGGCCCCTTCCAGAGTCTCCACTCAATTTGTTTTCCACAAAGTAGCAACAGTAATTAAAAAACAAAAGCAACTGTGAACCAGATCATGTCGTCTGTTTAAAACCCTTTTTTACTCTTAGAATACAATCTAGCTGCTCTGCCGGGCCCTGGCCCTTTCTGGCTGGTTCCGCTTCCCATCCACGGCATCCTGAGCAAGCTCCTCCTGGCCCACCGTGCTCCTGCCCAGCGCCCTTTGCATTTCTTCCCTCATGGGCCTTTGCACTGGCTGAGCCCTCTGCCTAAAATGCGCGTGCCCTCATCTTGGCACCGCTGGCTCCTCTTGTTACTCAGGGGTCAGGCAGGCCTTCCCTGAACACCCGGTCGTTTCTATTACATTCTCCTGTTTCAGTCTTCTGATCATTTTGTTCCCATCTGACAGTCCTTTGCTCATTACTTCATGCATTCAACAAACATCGATCACTTCTTGTGCCAGGCAGACTAGGCATGTGTTTATTCTCCCTCAATAACATGTCTGTCTCCTCTGAATAACATTAAAAAAAAAAACCTCATGAAGACAGGGGCCTTGAGCAGAGCTTTAGGGCCTGGCATGGAGGAGGCATTCAATAAATATTTGATTTGCAGAATGAATAAGTACAAATGGTAATGTGTACTCAGGAAATCAGAATTGGCTGATACAGCTTCTAAGGTCTCATGGCTTTGAGGCAGCCAATATTCCAAAGTGGCCCTAGTGCTGAGATAAATCAGACCCTGTCTGTATTTTTCCAGGCCAGCAAAGGTGATTCCCTCCCTGTTTCTACATCTAGTCAGCATTTATTAATGTTACTATGTGCAGGCCTGTGCCTGGTGCCAATCTCGATCCTGTCCCAGCTCATTCAGCTGTTGGCACTCAGGGGCCAGCCAAAAGGTTACCCTGACCTATAGCTAATGACCAACTGGTCCTCACTGGTGGTCACCCCTGGTACAACCAGGTAACAGGTCTCCTCCCACACCTGTAGCTCACTTCTGCCCATTTCCCAGATACCCAGGGTTTCAGAGCAATGCCAGGGAGCCAGGCTGCCCTGTCCCCAGGGCAGCGAACCAGCCTCCCTTCTCCAGACCCATTTCCAACAGCAAGAGTGCCTGCACTCACCCTGGCTCCAACACCAGGCTCCGTCACTGCCAGCCCATCTGGCACGCTGGCCAAAAACATGGGCTCAGAGGCCCAGCAAGGCAAGGCTCTGCACCGCTGACTCTGTGATCTTGGACAGGTCACTGTGCCTCTTGGGCCTCAGTTTCCTTTTCTGATAAATGAAGTCTATAAAGACTTCAGCAGTGCCGTGGTGCCCCTGCTTCTCCCTGCTCTTGGGCCAGGGGTCTCACCAGGACCAGATCAAGGGGCATGTGGGGGAGGGCTATATTTCTATGGCTAATCTTATTATCAGAAATCAGGAGCAAGAGAAGAATTCAATTCAGCACAATAAATATACAATTCAAACAATAAGTCCATACTCAGCCAAGCACCTGGGATACAGGTGAAAATCAGGTCTCATCGTGAAGGCAGGCAGGCAGAGAAGAGGCGGATCTGTGAACAAAACTTCAGAGCAGATGTGCCACATGCTGAGTAAGGACAGGCATGGAGAGTGTCAGGGATACAGTACAGTCTCGGTTCCTCTGGACTGGGTGATCGGGATGAAGGGAAAAGATAATGGGTTTGGCCTTCTCCGTTTCCCAAATGATCTGTGCACACCAGTGTCCACACTAGCAGGACAGGTGCGTCAGTGGTGGCTTGTGAGACTCCCAATAGCCTCACAACCATAACCAAGAGCCACAATACCGCTGACGGTAAGGTCTATGCACTGTGAGACTCATCGTTCACTCCTCTGGGTCCACACATAGCTCCCAGCAGTCCAAGAAACAATAACAGCATCTACATGATGGAAAATTCATTTCAACAAGACTCTCCAAGCAACTTTTGAAAAAAGCGTCCAGCTCAGATGGAGTTAGGGAATCACAGGGCTGGCAGCTACTGCATAAACCAGCGGCTTCCAAACTTGCTTTCCATCTCCAAAGCCATTGCTCTACTGAATTCACCCAGAAGCCGGTACACAAAACTGATACAAACAGAGCTGCTCTGCTAGAAATAGTGCTCCTCTGTCTGCTTGGCACCCTCCCTCTTCTCCCCCAGGCCCTGGCACCCTCACCCCGGCAGCTCCAAGGAACCCTTGGGGCTCCAAAAGCAGTGATGGAAAACCGCTAACCTAGGCCAACCTCCCTGAGGAGATATGGGAAATGAGTCCCACAGGAGTCACGCTCTGCACTGCACCTGAACACAAACCCAGGTTTCTGAGTCTAAGCTAACACTCCTCACCGACTTTGCTAGAGCTAGATCTATGGAAAATTGCACTTTAAAGCAGCAAGGCTCAAATCTGATCACCTACACATAATCCCTAAAAACCCTGGAACTGGCCAAGTGTGAAACAGAACCCAGCCCCACAGGCTGGCAGGGAGAAGGTCGGAAATGAGTTGCAGAAGCACAGCTGACAATTCCATAGCGTTTCCTTCAGCTCCGTGGGACATAAACAGGTCTTGAAAGGCTTGGGCTGCGTGGTTGTGAGACCCTGGACCAGGCAGCCAGGAGGTGAATGCTAACGAGCTATGGAAATAGCTGTTACTTTCCCCGTGTCAGGCACCGTGCCAAGCTAAGGAGGATAAAGAGGTCTGAGATATTTTTATAGCAGAAAAACTTTCCTACAGACTCAATTATATAACTATCAGACTCCACCTCTGGGCTGAAATTATCCATGGCCTTCAGGAAAAAAAGCAGTTTTCCCTACAGGAGGGTCACAGGTTTCTCCAGAGAAACTCCAAGCTATATGGCCAGCAACCCACAGCAGCTGCAAACCATCAGCCCAGAGACGCAGCCAAGCGCCGTTTGGCGCCTGCCAGAGACGAATACCAGCCAAGCGGAGGGCAGGAGTCGTGCCGCTGACCCGGCCGTCACACTGGACACGGTAGGGGGTAGAGGCAGGTCCCCTCTGTGGGGCTTCCAAACTCATCCACGTCGGTGTCCTCCCAACTTCCTGAGGCACCGAAGGAGAGAAGGTGCCAGGGGCAGTGCCTGCGCCCAGGCGTCCCCTACTGTTGGCACAGGGCGGACAGGCACGAAAAGCCTCTGGGGCTGAAGGAATGAAGGGCTTCAGCGTTGAAGTGACAGCCAAAATCAAAGGAACAGACTCAGGAGGATTCACTTACAGCCCAGGTCTTTGTCAGCCTGAAGATGGGCGCGCTTTGTAATGCCGACACCACAGACATGAGAGAGTGAAGGTTGTTGAGTTCTAGGAGTTTCTGGGGGGGAAAGATATGGAACAGATTATTTTGCTGCTATAAACAACAGAACGAAAACATGCTCAAGTGTTACCAAATGTTGTCATATTTATGAAATTCAATTGCACTTAAAAATATCTCGTGTAGAAAATGTAGTTCTAGGAAGTTCATAGAAACCATATGCTCTTTTCCTTTCAAATTGCCACAAGGTGAGTTTGCAGCTACAACATTTGCAAAATTTCATAAGCTGACTAGTCTGGCTGCTGGATAGAAACATGGCTCAGGAGAAGGTTTGATAATGCCCTTTATGTTTTTTTTTCCTCTCTCTCTTTTCTTTTCTTTTTCTTTCTTTCTTTTTTTTTTAAACAAATCTGAACAGTCCCAGCAGGCTTTTGGCTTTTGTGCACTGAAACCTCAGCTGGCCACCAACATCAGCGTGGGTCTTTGGTGATCACCTGGCTAAGGAAAGGCGCTATCAGTGTGCATAACTCCCCTCGGTCAGCAGGGCAGGGCTCCGGCTTTCCAGCCACTTGACCATGCTCCTCTGAACCAGACTCCAAATTAGTGAGAACATTTGGATTCAATTCAGACTCAGACAAGTTCTTTGCCATGGAGGGCTGTAGAAGGAGACACAGTCAAGAGTAAGTGAGGAAAAATGTAATGGCTCTGGGCCTGGTTTTAAGCGAGGGAAGCCTGCTAACAGGACTGGGGTTCCAGTCTCATTCTCAGAGTCCATGAAGCCTGGGTTAGCAGTAGGATCTCCGGGGCAACCCCACCCCCACTCCAGGTACCCACTCCTTGTATGTCCTTGGCACAGGTCACCGCTTCGAGCACTATTCCTGAGCCTCGCATCCTCTTAGTTAAAATAGGAAGTCATAGCCCATCTGCTACCTGGGATGGCGCATGGAAACTGACTAGACCTGTGGTCGGCAAACTGCGGCTCATGAGCCACATGCGGCTCTTTGGCTCCTTGAGTGTGGCTCTTCCACAAAATACCACAGCCTGGGTGTCTATTTTGAAGAAGTGGCATTAGAAAAAGTTTAAGTTTAAAAAATTTGGCTCTCAAAAGAAATTTCAATCGTTGTACTGTTGATACTTGTCTCTGTTGACTAATGAGTTTGCTGACCATTGACCTAAACCAGGGCCCAACGCCAGGGTCAGCACTCACGGTGATATGGGCTGCTCATTCTTTGTCAGGAAGACTTGTCCTCCCATATCCCGTCGTCTTCGGTACTTCTAAGCTCAGGTGCTACTGCCTCTACTATGTCTTTCCTGATCATGTTCCCAAGTCTGAGGACCCCATCGTCTGACCCTCAACAGTCTGTGCCTCTCCTCAGCACACTGGACTGTGCTCCCTGAGGGCCGGGGCAAAATCATGCCTGCCATCACATCCCTAGTACCTAGCTCAGCACCCAGTAGGGCCTAGTGAAATGGACAAATAAATGGAAAGCCCTCATGCTAGTCTTCATGGCTTTGATCCTACTTGGAGATTTCTCTCTTACCACACTGCTCATACTTCGCTTCATACATCTTGTAACGTTCTCTAATTGTTTCCTACTGTGGGATAACAGATTCTCTGTGCGAACAGAATTCCATAGTATGAACTGAATTACTATGCATGTCACACAGTTTCTTTAGAGCTGAAGGTGGTCTGGGACAACAGTCGCCAATCTTCTGGACTTCACAGGCCACCAGTGGTCTGCAGACCAGCAGTGGGTGACCACTGCTCTGGGAGATGATCCAGTCCACCCCTTTCCTTGTATGGATGGGAAACTGAGGCCCAGAGGAGGAGGGGCCTGCACAAGCACATTCCCAAGGCACTGTACAGCATGGCGGTCCATCATCAGAAGATGGTAGAGGTTAAAAGGGATCTCTTTAGTCCCTTGGGTAGGGACCATAAACTCATTTCTAAATGGAAAGCACCAGGTGGGCTGGGACGTAATTGCACTTTCTCACGAGGCCCAGCACAAACTCGCTAACAGCAAGTATCATGAAGCCCAGCTGGTCCAAGTACTTCAGACGCACAGGACATAACAGTGCCCCTAACACACATACTTCATAGATGGATGCCCTTAACCTTCCTTGAGAGGGGGCAGGAGAGCAGCTCCCCAGAAGGCATGCTCCACGGACTCTGTGGCTTTGGACATGGACACTCACCTCGCTAGCCTCCCCTCAGTCCTCTGGGAATGGGATTGTAATCATGTGACATCGACTATGATCATTTCCCTAAAGCTCCTGTTGCAGTGCCTGGCTGCTGAGGGGCCTCGGTAAAGGTAAGCTGGCCTAAGATGGGGTGGGGAGATGAAGAAGGAGTGTACCAGGCAGAACAGTGTTCCGCTGGTCAGGCAAGCTGGAGGCCGGGAGAAGTGTATGGGGAGGAGGGGCAGGGCTGTGTAAGTGATGAGAGTGGTTCAGAAAGGCCCCTAGGACCACAGCGGGGCTGAAAGAGATGAGGCAAGAGGAGGGAAAAGGTGGGATGCAGGCATGAGCTGGTACCCAATTACTGACAAGGACAGAACCCGTCAGGCAGGAGTTGGGAGTGGGAGCAACAGGGTCGTCCGGCCCAGGTCTCAGGATGGGTGGGTGGGCTTTGCTGACTGGGGACAAATCCACAGGATGTGATGGCATCACAAAAATCAGTGCTGAGTAAACTCACCAATCCTGTCATGGCTAAATCTGAAGGAGGAGGAGGATGGATCCCAGGGGTAGTGTGAAAGGCCAAAGAGAAGACCTGGCTGCCAAAATCACAGAGTAGAGGAGCATGCTGACAACGTGGGGGGGGAGGGGCAAAGCGAGGGGTGGCTGGGAGCTGAGTGGGCATCCAGGTCGGTCTCCCAGCTGCCTCTGTCTGGGGATGTCAGGTCACAGCCCCCTATCTGAACCCTGCCTGGGCAGACCCAGAGCACAGCTGCTCCCAAATTATTGAAGAAACATTTTTTTGAAATTTTCTTTTATGGATTTCAGAGGGGAAGGGAGAGGAAGAGACAGATAGAAACATTAATAATGAGAGAGAATCATTGATCAGCTGCCTCCTGCACATCCCACACTAGGGATCGAGCCTGAAACCCAGGCATGTATCCTGACTGGAAATTGAACCCTAACCTTCTGGTTCATAGGTTGATGCTCAACCACTGAGCCATGCAATCTGGGCAGGGATCCACATTTTTGAGACAAAGAAAGAAAGGAAAGGGGATTAAAAAAATAAAAAATAAATAGAAAAACAGCTTACCTTGGCTATTTTCACAAAATGGCTCAGGATTTCTGCCCTTATTTTTAAAGTCTGTGCTGTTAGAATTTCTCGTACAACCCAAAAGCTGACCTGTAGAGTCAAATACAAAGACACACATACACACCAGAAAAGTTGTTAAATGCTGAGCCACCCATGTCACCCCTGCCCATCACTTTTAATGGGATTTCCAAGAGGTTGGGAAACTGGGAAAGCATCGCCCACGGTTGTGTCAGGTCTGAGGTTCCTTAATGACACCCAACCTGGCAAATGGGTCCCCGCTCTCACCACCACCTCTCCAACACACAGTGGTGCTGAGAGGTCAGTACTTCTGTCATCCTACAGGGAGTTACTTATTGCACCTCCAAGAAAGGAGACTTGGCAAGCACTGCAGCGAATTCTGAGATAGGTCAGACAGGATTCCTACTCAGAAGGATCCCAGATGTGAGGAGGCCATGAATAGATGGATGGATGGATGGATGGATGGATGGATGGATGGACGGACAGACAAGTGGCCAAAGGGATATGCATACTGCCAGTATCACCCATAAGAGCCATATCCTCAGCCAGACCTAAGACAAGAAGAATTTAGCAATATTCACACAATTGTAACAAGTTTAATTTTCTAGGTTAGGGTTACCCAAATACTAACAAAAATCGCACAGAAACATCTTTTAAAGCGCCATAAAGCAATGCACGTCAAGGACATGATTTTGTGGAGACAGCAGATGCCAAAGAGCATCCTGGTACTTCTGGTTCAGAACATCACTCATGCTTGACCTCTCACATAAACCAACATCCCCAAGCCCCTGAGTCATCTCCCATGTGTAGTTGACCCGCATGACACCTCTGAGGACACAGAGGGGCTTCGTGCCAAGAGCTCTGGGGCGTGGCCAGCTTTCTGGCTGAGGTTTCACTGCTGCCACGGCTCTTTGCAGAGCACAGAGGCCAAGAGGGCAAGGAAGCTCTCCAGAGAAAGGTGGGGAGCAGGGACAGTGTATGGGGTTCAAAGGAAGGTGGGGCGTTGAAAACCACTAAATTCTACTAAGCAAAAATAAGAATATTCTAGAGTTAACAAAGCATGTTTATTGCTGCAACCAAATGTATCCTCTTTCCTGAAGAACTGGCCCTTTCCAAGGAAAGAATAACCAAGAATCAAAACTCTGCTTTTCACATTAAGCAGGAATATTATAGAAAAGTTTTCTCTGCATAATTATCTGTGGTTGGTTCCAGGACATGCCCTGGTTTCCATAGAATCATTTTTTCCCAAGGAATTGTCTAAAATTAAGTTCAGACTCAAATGTTTACTAGCCAGTTATGGAAGGAATATATTCTGGATACCAAGTGATATACCCATAAACCTTATATTTCAATACATGCACATTTTTATGCCACATAATCTCGTGTGACCATTTATGTGTCCTGTATAATTTAATAGATTCCTGCATGCCAAAAAATCACACATATTTACAGAGCATGAGAGGGGGCTCTGATCTGTAGCATATGGCATGTGGAGGCAACTCTAGGTCAATTCAACCCAATAGATTTCCATGAGGCCCTTACTGTGCACAGGCTCCAGGCACTGCAAGTCCAGACCCTATCAGTGCTTCCTGGTATGGGGGTGACCAGAGGAGGAGGCAGCTGGTGAAGGTGGCCTGACCTAGAATATGGGGGTGGTGATGATGGAAGAAGGCTTCTTGGAGGAGGCAGGTGTTGAAAGGTGGGTAGACTTTCAGCAGGTAAAGGTAGGACTGAGTATGGTGTATACACCAGGACCAGGGAGAGCTGAGTAGACCAACACGATGGCTGTGGAGTGGAGATAATGAGGGAGACTGATGCTAACAAGGGAAGTGAAAGCCAGATTGTAGGGATCTAGAGAAACAAAGCGATAAGAAGGACCTAAGACAATTAATTACACACTGGAGAGTCCCAGAGGCTTCTGAGCAGATGACAGACTAGATCCCTTTTTAGGAACACCCAACAGGAAGTCGGTGCAATGGTCTAAGTGAGAGGTAAGAGGTCTGAGCTAGGGCCTGAGCTAGATGAAGAGAAGGAGCAGGTAAGGGAGATATTTACAAAGGTAGGATCAGAAGTTCTAAATATTTTTTAAAATATATTTTTATTTATTTCAGAGAGGGAGAGGAAGAGAGAGATAGAAACATCAATGATGAGACAATCATTGATTGGCTGCCTCCTACCCTCCCCCTACTAGGGATTGAGCCCATAACCCAGGCATGTGCCCTTGACTGGAATCAAACCTGGGACCCTTCAGTCTGCAGGCAGACACTATCCACTGAGCCAAACCTACTAGGGCCTAAACATTTTTAATTTTCTTTACTAACTACAAAATTTAAGACAAGCTTAATGTAGAAAACAAGGGAAACAGAGATAAGCAGAAAAGATGAATCACTTGCAACATACAGACCACCAAGATAACCACTGTGGTGTGTGTCTGTTGATTATTTCTTTCCATACAAAAGCGTATACTTTGTATGTTAACCATATCACAAGAATTTCTATTTAAGTGAATAAATATTCTTTTACAACTTGCTTTTTAGCAGCTGCTAAATATTTCATCTTAGGGATGTAGCATCATTAGGTGATCCCCTATTGTTAGGTAGGTTGTTTCTAATTCTTTTGTTGTAAAAAAGAATGTTGTGGTGCCCTGGCCAGTGCTGCTAAATGGTTAGAGTGCCGGCCCGCACACAGAAGGGTCTTGGGTTTGGTTCCCTGTGTTGCTCTGGTCAAGGGCACATACCTGTGTTGTAGGTTTGATTCCCAGTCCCAGTCGGGACTCATTCGGGAGGCAACTGAGCAATGAATCTCTCTCACATAAATGTTTCTCTTTCTTTTCCTCCCACCTTCTCTCCCTCCCTTCCCACTTTCTCTAAAAAAAAATCAATGGAAAAAATATCCTCCTGTGAGGATGAACACATAAAAAATGTTTGCAGTGATGAGCATATATAGATATATATCTTTACATATTTTTAGTTAAGGTCTTAGGATAAACTTCCTGTAAGGTGGAATGAATAAAAGTATGTGTGCCTTTTTTTCCAAAAGCAGATATAAAAAACTTGGCCTCTAAAAGGTCTATTTGTTTATCTATCAACAAGTTAGAGTAGATCCGCGTTCCCACACACAGGCATATGTACCAGGTATTGCAACTCTTTTTTTCGTTACTAAATTAATGGACAAAATAATATCTTGCTGTTTCTATTTTGCATTTCTTTTGTGACTGCTCAGTCTACATTTTTTTGCCTTCTTTTCAGTTTTTTGTTACAAATATTTATAGGTCACTTGTACTATTTGCCTTCTGAGTTACCTGCTCAGGTCCTTCAGCCATCTTTCTATTGGGACATCTATCCTCTTACTATTGGTTAGTAAATGGTCTTTGTATTAAAGAAAACACACTAACCCTTTGTGAGTCATACATTGTACCAAAAGTGTGGAGAAACTGGTACTTTTTGACACTTTTGAGGAATATAAATTTATTGGACCATTTTGAAGAACACTTGAATGTGTTTTTCAAGATGTTAAAGTTATATTCTCCCTAGAATATTTACCTTATGAATATAAAATTTAGAGGGACATATGTACAAAGGTTCACTGCTGCACTGTTTATAAAGCGAAAAGAATAGAAAATGCCTATCAATAGGGAATTGGTTATATAAATATACTTTCACTTCAAACTCATCCAGGAAGAAGCTATGGAGCTGTGCTTGCTCCAGCTTTTTGAGGGCAAATGATCTATATTATTTGGAATTCTTCTGCTTAGTAGGTTTGTATTGTCTGCTCCCTTTATTTATCTAATCACTTGTTTATATCAGAATGGACTCACTTATATTTATTTTATACTTTGGCTTATGATCCAATGCTGTGTTATTTATTTTATTGCTCAGATCATTCCAGCTTCGGCCACTGAGGCCTCTTTCAGTTGGTTCCTGCGTCCCTTCCCTTTGACCCCTCAGCACTGCTTTGGTTTGTGGGCTTGCTTAAGCATTTGCTTATTTTTCCAGCACTATAAGGAGCTACGGGCTCATCTTGGACGTTTCTTGCCCCAGTCCTAAACCAGCCATTTTTTTCTCCAAAAAGCCTGGGTTCCTTTTAGTAGACAATGAGATGAGAAACCAAATACATAGCAGTACATAGCTGGATTGTGTCTGTACTATTTTGAATTCCCAGCAGCAATGAACGAGAGTTTATGTTGTTCTGGGTATCTGCTAGCAATTGGTGTTTGTCAGGCTGTGTTGTTGTTGTTGGTTTTTTTTACTATTTTAATTGGTATGTAGTATTTTGCATTTTCCCAATGACAAATGATGTTGAGCATCTTTTCATGTTTATTTGCCATCTGCACATCTTCTTGGGTGAGGTGTCTGCTCAGATCTTTTGCCCATTTTTTAATTGGGTTGTTTTCTTATTGTTGAATTTTCAGAGTATATTTTGGATACAAGTCTTTATCAGATATGTGTTTTGTAAATATTTTTTTCCTGTCTGTGCTTTTTTTTTTTTTTTTTAATTCTCTTAACAATGTCTTCTGCAGAGTAGAAAAATTTAATTTTAATAAAGTCCCAACTTTTCAAGTTTTTCTTTCATGGATTGTACTTTTGGTGTCATATCTAATAAATAATCACCAAAGGTCATGTAGATTTTATTCTATGTTTTTTCCTAAAAGTTTTATAGTTTTGACTTTTAACTTCCATTTAAACTGCTGTTACTTTGGATAGTCCTGTGGTTGGCAAACTGTGGCTCGTAAGACACATGCAGCTCTTTGGCCCCTTGAGTGTGGCTCTTCCTCAAAATACCATGGCGTGGGCGAGTCTATTTTGAAGAAATGGCATTAGAGAAGTGTAAGTTTAAAAAATTTGGCTCTCAAAAGAAATTTCAATCATTGTACTATTGATATTTGGCTCTGTTGACTCATGAGTTTGCCGACCAGTGGGATAGTCTATCAAGTCTGATCTATAGTTTTGACTTTTACATTTAGGTCTCTGATCCATTTTGAGTTAATTTTTATGAAAGATCTAAACTCTAGATTCATTTTTTTATATATATGCTGAAAAAATTCCAATTATTCCAGCACCATTTGTTGATGAAATTACCCTTTCTCCATTGAATGTCCCTATGCATTTGTCAAAGACCAGTTGCCTATGTTTGTATAGGTCTACTTCTAGGCTCTTTATTCCAGCCGTCACCAACCTTTCGGACCTCACGGACCACAGGTTGGCGACTGCTGCTCTATTCTGTTCCACTGTCTTAGATGTCTATCCTTTAGACAAGATCATGCTGTCTTTATTACCGTAGCTTTTCTGTCAGTCTTGAAATCAGGTACAGTGAGTCCGCCAACTTTGTTCTTTTTCAGTATTATGTCTTTAGTCTTTCCATATAAGCTTTACAGTTTACTGATATTTATAAAATAGCTGAGATTTTTATTGGGCTTGAACTGAATCTATAGATCAACTGGGAAGGTCTTAATAATGAATTTTCTAATCCATGAAAATAGAATATTTCTCTATTTCTATCTGCTTTGCTGTTTTGCATCAGTGTTTTATATTTTCTACAAATAGAACTTGTACATAGTTGTTCGTTTTATGCTTAAGCATATTTCTTCATGTGTTTGTGTACTATTGTAGATTTTTTAAATTTCAAATTCCAATTCTTCGTTGCTGGTGCAGAAGATCTTTTGTATGTTGACCTTACAAACTGCAACCTTGCTATACTCATTTATTAGTTCCAGGAAGTTTTTTTTTTTAAATAGATTTCTTTGAGATTTTCTAAATAGACAATCATGTCATCTGTGAATAAAGACAGTTTTACTTCTTCTTTTCAATCTGTATATCTCTTCTTTTCTTGTTTTATTGCACTAGTCAGGACTTCCAGTATGAATGGAAGTGGTACGAGAGTTCATCCTTGCCTTGTTCCCGATCTTGTCGGGAGAACTTCAAGTGTCTCACCATTCAGTGTGATGTTGGTGGCAAGACTATTGTAGATATTCTTTAGCAAGTTGAAAAAGCTTCCTAATTTGCTGAGATTTCCTAAAACATCATGAATGGATGTTAAATTTTGTGAAATGCTTTTTTGAATCAATTAGTATGATAATATGATTTTTCTTCTATTATAGCCTATGAATACACTGGATTACATTAGTTGGTTTTCAACTGTTAAACCAGTCATGTATACCAGTCATGGAAATAATGCCACTTAGTCATGGTGCTAATAAGCTTTTAAATACAGACACTACTGTTATCACCTTTATTGTTCCAGAGTTTAGCCACTGAAGACTAATATATCCCCTGGGAAATATCTCAACAGTATTATAGATGAATGAAGCAAAATAGTTACTGAACACAAAAAAAGTTTATTTCATCAACCACAAATAAAACAGTCAAAGCATAAAGTAAAGAAAAATTCAGGTTTAAAAATACTGTCTTTTCTTCTGAGAAATCTACTTTGCCATAAATTTCTCATAAGCCCATTCACAGTTTTCTTACAAACCTGGAGGTAGAAGGGACTTCAAGGCCCCCTCTTTCCCTCAACCTCCACCCCCTCCACTCCCAACCCCACGATGTTCTACAGTCACTGTGATAAAGCCCTGCCTGGTCTCTGCCTGGGCTTTCATAGGTAAGGAACTAACTACCTTGTATTAGGACAAAGCACTGCCTCCCCACTCCCATCCCCTGGTTCCTATACTTACTGATTGGGCCCCACAGGTTATACTTAATCAGCTTCCCCATAGGAGCCCCTCATGAAAAAACCTTGATGATTTCCTCCCTGAGTCTTCTCAATCCCAGATCCTTCAGCTGGTCCTTATGTAACATGCTTTCTTTCCCTCACCCTCTGGCCACTGTCATGTTGGCATGCCACTCCTATGTGACAGTCTCCCTGCTCTTCGTGCGAGGCACCCAGGAGTGGCTGGATAAAGCAAAGGAAGTGAGATCACCACACACCATTAGAATGGCTAAAATAAATAAATAAAAATTTAAAACCCTGACAATACTAATTGCTGGCAAGGATCGGAAGCAACACAAACTTACATTCATTGCTGGTGGGAATGAAAAACGGTACAGACACAATCCAGTGATTGTACTCCTAGGTATTTACAAAGTGTGTTTGAAATTTTGTGACCACACATACACGCATTTGTTTACAGCAGTTTTACTCATAATTATAGAAAACTGGAAGTAAATAAGATATCATTCAATAGGTAAATGGGTAGACAATGTCCATACTATGGAATTGTATTCATAAAAAAAAATTAAGACATCAAGCCAAATAAAGACATGGATGAATCTTAAATACATATTGCTCAATGAAAGAGCCAGCCTGAAAGGGCTCTTTATATATGATCCCACCCACTTTGACATCTGAAAAGGGTAAAGCTATAGAAATGGTAAACAGACCAGGTTCTTGATCATTGTCTCCCTCTCCATACCAAACTGCCTTCTTCCTTGAGCAACTTCAATATCACTGTGCATGACCGTGGCGTCAAGGAAACTTGGCCACTTCAGCAACTCTTTCCCACCTATTATACCACTTCAGTCACCTCTTCCTCATAATCATCCAGAACTTTAAATTCCAGTCTTGGGCCACAACCTTTCAACCTTCCCTTATTCCGGAGCCCCCACTGTGCCTGTCCTTCCTTTTCACCACATCTGCAGGCCCGGCAGCCCTTGCCCCTGAGCAGACTGCTCCCCTATCATTTGTCACTTCAGCCTCTAGTCAGCACTTTAAGTTCCCTTCCCCTTGCTCCTTCAAAATTCTGCTTTGCTAACCCCGACCTGTGGATGGATCCAAGCGTTTGCCCTCCTACGTCCCTACTCCCAGGCTGCAAAGTGCAACTTCAGAAAACCATCTACCCTTGTGCACTGGGACCACTTTAAAAGTCACAATCTCTGTTTCATCTGGCCCATCGTCTCTGCCCAAGAGTCTTTCTATATTTCCACAGTCAGCTCTCTCCTCTCCCCCAAAGTGGCTTTTTCATTTCACTTTCATAACAACTGTGCAAGGTGAGTACTGTTACTATTCTCACTTACAGATAAGGAAACGGGCTCAGAAAGGTAAGTGACTGCTTTCCTTTGTCTGGAGTCCGATGCGGAAGCTTGTTCTCACATATGGAAGTCTGCTAGGAAGGAACGCCAATCAGTTTATCTCAGGAAAAGCAGCCCAGGGGCTGACCAGACCTGGCCGCCGGCCAGTTTTCAAACCGGAGCTACCAGAGTGCGTCCAGGAGCTGCTGCTCTGAGGAGCTGACAGGCCGCAGGCAGACCCTCTCTCAGGGCACCGTTTGGGAGAGTGTGGCTTTACTCTGGTTCGCTGTATTGGTCTGATCTGGACATGATGCAATTATTCGCAGAACGAGCCACATTGCCCTTGGCCAAGCTGACCTGGCCTCCTGTGCAAAGCAGATTACATCAGGGCCCTCCGGGAGCTCGGCGGCTGGTCAGAGGTGGGACGGAGCTGGCTCCGAGTCAGATAGTTTTGCTAGGAAACTATGAATCCCCTGATAGTGTGTGCACATCTGGTTTTTGGTGTGTTTTCTTAAAAGACTAAGCTCAGTTGAAAAGGAAAAGATTTTTGAAAACAAAGAAAAAGAAACAAAAGACTTTAGAACTTCCTTTTCAAAATAAACGGTGTGCACTCCCTACCGCAGCCATTGTCTCATAAAACAGGTCATGCTAATGCAGCCTCGCTCTGAGCACTCAAGCTGGTGCCTCTCTGAGGCTCCCGCTGTACTCGGGGTGGCAGCCCAGAGTGGGGAGGCCTGGAGGGGGCTGGGTAATGTGATGCACAGGACCCGGCATTTCCGAGGGGAACGCCCAGCTGGGGAAGGCACCAGAGAGAACCCAGGCCCATCACCCAGAGATCCAGTCATGCTCACCATGCAACCTCTAGGCCAATGTCCTCATGTGAAACCAGAAAAACAAGCAGAAAGTAAGAACTGTCAACAGCACCATTTGGGGGCTTGATCTATCCAAAGGGGGTCTTGCAGGGTGCTTCCTACCGATGCCATGTCCTGGGAGAACTGACTGAGCAATCAGAAGCCCACCCCTTCAGCAAGCCCAAGGCCCCGCTATCATTTAGTAAGTAGGGACGCAGGTCTTCATACACGGAATGAAGGTTCTGGCTGGACCTAGAGAGTTTGTAATAAGATGCATGAGGCCAGTGAGCAGGCTGTCAGGAATTCACAGAAATTCACTTCAAGGAATGCTTCCTGAGCACCGCATTCACTCATCCCACATGTATTGACTGGGGGTCTATTCTATGCTGACCTTGGGCAAAAGGTAGGGGATGCAGTGATGAACAAGGCAGACACAATTCCTGCCCTCATGGAGCCCACAGACGGGGAAGGAAGCTGGAGACGGAGTCACACAAAATGAGGACAGGTGAGTGAGGGCCAGCGGAGAAGCACAGGTGCAGTGAGGGAATGCATGACGGGAAGACTTCCCAGGAAGTGCCGTTCAGGCTGAGGAAGAATTCTGAGCTGAGAAGGCAGCATGCGTGGAAGTCTGATGGGACAGAGGTATGATGCACCAGGAAAAGGAAGGAAGGCCAGAGTAGCTGAAGCCCGCAAAGTAGGGGGAGGGGCAAGAGACGCGGCTGGCGGGTGGACATAGCCAGACCCACCATGCAGGACCTTGCAGGGCAATTAAGGTGCTTGAACCTTAGCTTATGTGGAATTGGAAGCCCCTGAAGTGATTTAAACACAGGAAAGATGTGTTCAGTTCCACCTGCTGTGAGAAAAGAGGACTGTGATGGCCCAAGAATGAATGAAAGTGGGGTTTCAGGCAGAGGTGTCTGGTCCTGGGGCCAAGTGTTTGGAATTGAACCCCAGCAGGGACCCCAGGCTACAAGTGGCAACACTGCTATCTGGACAGGTACATGCAAGGGGTTGCTTACCTGGTTAAACCTCCGGGTAAAGGCCACAACGTTTGGGGCAAGACTATGTTTCTCCTTCTTACTCCATCCACAGCTGGCTAGTTCCTAGGAAGCAAAGAGTCCATTTCAACAGTGGTTCTAATCGGGATGCAAACACAGCAGGGGCACCTGATTGGAACATGGGTATGGAGGTGGGGAAGAGCTGTCCTCACCAGAGTGGGAAGATCCTCTGCCTCTGGAGAGGAGAGCTGGGAGGAGGCACTCCTGGGACCCTAGAGAGGAGAAGGAGATGCTTTCTCTACAGCCCCAGCCCCATTTCCCAGGACTTCTGTGCCAAAATACTCAACCTCACCACTGCCACTCTGCCAGCTTCTCCAGGAACAGAAATCCCTTCTTGACTCAAATTGTCTGAGACAGGACGTAACGTTTTAACTAGTGGGACTCATCCCCCCGAAAGGCAAAGTCGAAATTTAAATCTGGCTGGAGAATCTCAGGTTTCATCAGCTACATGACATCCTCTATTCCTAGGGTCAAGGAAAGCCTGATCCAAGCCCTCTGCAACCAGGGAAGCTTCTGGGATTACCTCGATTCCTACCCGAAGCTGGACCCTCCCATCCATCATATAACCAAAAGGGGACAGAGGAGAGGTTCCCTTTAAGATCGCTTTCAGGGGCCTTGTCTCCTCTTTCTCAGCATTATAGTTTGATCAAATGACCTAAAATGTACCTTCAGTGAGGCTGGTTCTGATCCAGGGGAGATAACAGGAGCAATCTAAGGTGATTAGTTGGGGGCTGTATAAAGGACCAAGAAAAGGCCCCTATTCAAATGGCTAGCACTCTCAGCTGGTGCTTGTGGAGCCCGGCAGAGAAGGGAGAAAGGGGTAGATTCTAAAGTTCTCCACCCCTAAGTGACAAGACCTCCTTTTAATTCCCATCAGGCCTCGGTATTGTTAATAACATTATTTTACCACACACCTGGAACTTTTATAAGATCTTTAGTGAGAGCCAGCTGTCCACCAATTGGAATAGAACAGATCAGAGTCTGCTAGAAAGCCAGAGAGAGCAGCAGGAATGGACAAGACAAAACTTGCTGGCTGCGCAGTTATGCCTAAAGAGCTGCACCCTTCCAATGCATCTGAGGACCCAGCTCTAAACCACAGCCTCGCTGAAGGCAATGGACACCAGATGAATGACCTGGCCTTGAGAACAACTGAGAACCAGCCAGAAGCTAAAATCAGCTCCTCTTCCTAGCCACCTCATTTGTGCAAATGGCATCGTCGCCCTCCCAGTCACCCACATGAGGAAATACAACCATCCCTGACCCTGCCAAGTCCTTCACACCCTAAATAACAGTAATGACAATGATATTAACCCAGAACCATTTATCAAGAACAACCCCCCACACACACGCCAGCCCTGGAGAGGTACTTCCCATGTTACCTAATTCTCAGCACAACCACTTTAACGAAAAGGAAAGGGCCTCAGTATCATTCATTCTCTTGAAAAGATAATTTGACTCTACTGTTTTTCAAAAGTGCACATGAATGACTTTGAGATGGAAAATTTCCTGTGTAGCCTGGCTGGATGGCTATTAGTTGGAAAGTTATCTCTTACACCAAAAAGGTTGTGGGTTCAATCCCTGGCTGGGGCACCTATGGTAACCAACCAATTGATGTTCTAGTCACATCAATGTCTGTCTGTCTGTCTCTCTCTCTAAATAAACATATACCTTGGATGAGGATTAAAAATAATAATAAATTACCTGTGTACCATGATTCTCCTTGTTCTGAAATGTATATTTGGCCTACCTGAGTTATATTTACTTCTTCCCCTGATGCACCTTTTCACCTATTTTAATCATTTTGCAAAAATATATTATTGTCCTTTCAGTGTTTAATTGTGAGGATAAGAGCTTTTCTCCCCTGTGAATCCCAAAGCCAGTCCCAGAAAGGTATGGGTTATAATCAGATAGAGAAATGGATTCATAAAACTGATGTTCAAGGACTGAGGCATGGTTATTGCCTAATTTCTGCCCAATAGTTGCTCCTTTTATTTATTTATTTATTTTTACTTCTTTGATAAATAGCCAGAATTATATACGTTTGTGTGTGCATGTGTGTACATTTAATTGAGTGCTCAATCTTATAAGCTACTTAGGAATGCATCCTGAAAGGGAGCAGTGTGGATCTTCCCCTTGGAAAGACCAGGCTCAGCCCTAGCTAGTTTGGCTCAGCAGATAGAGCATCAGCCAGTGGAATGGAGTCGCAGGTTTGATTCCAGTCAAAGGCACATACCTTGGTTGCAGGCTCAACCCCTGGCCTTGGTCGTGACATGTGCGGGAGGCCACCAATCAATGTATCTCTCTCACATTGATGTTTCTCTCTCTATGCCTCTCTGCCTGTCTTCAACTGTCTCTAAAATTCAATGGGGTGAGAGGGTCAGGAAAATAAATAAAAATAAAATTATTAAAAAAGAAAGACCAGGATCAGATCCTACATGTTGCTTATCTTCTCAGAGCCTCAATTATCTCATCTTAAAATGGGTACAGTCCTCCATTTATCTGTGAAGTTCATCATGACAATTAATGAGATTAACTCACCCGAGCACTCAGCATGGATGTGTGGTAAAAGTTATCTCCCACCTCTTCCCGTCATGCGCCACCAGAATCAGCTCCAGCTCCAAACACCCTCTGCTTCTCCCACACCACACTCTCGTTGCTGTCTTGAACTATTTAAAAATCTATTATTTCCCTTTCATTTTGCTGATGTCATGCAGGCAGGAACCAAAGCACGCAGTTAATACATCTGTCCTGAATTTATCTGATTTGAACATTTCTAAGACCGTGACTCAAAAACCGTGTGTGTAGTTCTTGGGTTTTGACAATTGCCTAAGCAACCTTTTGCACTGGAAGGCCTGTAACATTTAGAACTAAAACCCCAACAGACTGAAGCATTGTTGAAGAGCTTCCTTGATAAAATAGAAGAATCAAAGGACTTAGAGCCGGGCCTCACCCCAATCCTAGCCCTGACACATCTTTCCTGGGCGACCGCAGGTAAGCTCACGTCTCTCGTATCAGTCTCCTGGCTGATGATACAGGGATGGTGACACCACCTCCTTAGACCAAGAGAGAGGCTGACAGAGAGGCGACACGCAGGGCAGGCCTGGCTCGCAGCAGATGCCGAGCTGCATTTGTTGAATGAACGCGTTCCTCAGTGCTGAAATTTCCCAAACGCAGCGCAGAAAGATTTATCGAGATGTCAAAAGAAATAAGGCCATTCTATCTACTCAAACAGGCCCTGAGCCCCACCTCCTTGGCCCTGCTCCTCTTCTGTGTTTGGCCTTATAGGATTACAAGAGATTCCATCTGTGTGAAGTGGGTTTGGAAAATGTGAGGTAATAGAACAATGCTCTTCCAGTCACTGATGCCTAAAAAAGGTCCATGCTATGGAACGGATTTGAATGTAATTAAGTTCGAGTTGACCAGAGGAGACAGGGCTGCTTCTAGAAGAGAGGCAGGGTGGGGGCTGATGCTGGTAGGATCCTGGTAGCCCCCTCCCTCCATGAGGAGCCACTCAGCTGCCCTGGGCTACGGAGAAAGGAGTCTCACAAGGCTATCCTGATTGACTGCGTCCCCTGCTGAGGTCCGCTGGCTGTGGAAGGAGAGAAAGAGCCTGTACAATCCATCGCCAGCTTCTCTGGGGCTTCTCTGTGAGGTGGATGTTCCCCGGGAGGGAAAAGATGGTAGAAAAAGACTTTCGACCACTAAACGTAGAAATGTACCCTCCTCAGGCTTCTGGGGAAGGGAGGCCCTTTGCCCACAGGATCCACCCTCCTCCTGGGCTCCAGGTCCCGTCCCTGCCCCTCGCTCAGAGGACCTGATACCCTCTTTTGTTCCAGTATCTCCACCCTCTTTCTCCCCAATTTCCTCTTCCAACTAGCCCTTTAATGTGCATAAGCCTTTCCTATTAATAATAATAATGGTGATGATCATTATGACAATGACATCTTTTCTAGATCGCCAGTCTCCTTCCGCTCCTGCTCACTCTTTCTTCTCTTTGCAGAGAATGTCTTGAAAGGGGCATTGGGTCTCACTGTTTCAACTGGCTTCCCTCTCCACTTTTCTCCACTTGAATGGCCCTTTTGTTTTCTTTAAAAAAAAAAAAAAGCATATATATATATATATAATTTCAGAGAGGAAGAGAGAGATAGAAACATCAATCACAAGAGAAAATCATTGATCAACTGCCTCCTGTACATCCCACACTGGAGATCAAGCTCACAACCCAGGCATGTGCCCTGACCTGGAATAAAACTGTGACCTCCTGTTTCATAGATCAATGCTCAACCACTGAGCCACACCGGCTGGGCTAAAACTGCCCTTTTCTCTCCCAGAGACAACGTCCTGGCTAGGCAGCCCCTCTGCCTTATTTATCACTCTGTCCCTGCCCGTCAGTCCTGCGTTCTTCTGGTTGCCTTCTTGCCACTCAGGCCTCCCACTCTCGGGCTTCTTTTCTAGTTTTCTTTTCTGACACATGTGCCCTACCCCCAATGACATCTGTCCAGGCTCCTGGTCTACATTCTCCCATGTCTGGTTCCCTCCGGAAGATCTCATTTACCGCCATGGCCTCAACTGCACGTCTGTTCAACTCAAGCTTATCTCCTGAGCTCCAGCCCAGGATGTTCAGCAACCTGCTGACCACACCTTCCGTGGCATCGCACACCACCTCAAATCAGCAGGCCCAGACCAAAAAGGGGTCTGACCAGCTGCCCTCCATAAAAGCACACAACAACGTGAGACTCATTTAGACATCCATTCTGACATCAAAGGAGGATGTTTAGTACAAGGAAACTATGGAAAAACCCCTAGCTGATGTAAAAACAACTTTGTCTCAGCGCCTTCATCGGCAAGCATTCCTTGGTGACAGCAAGAGTCAACGCCGCTTTCGGCTCACCCCGCAAAACTTCCCTGGCCACACTGCCAGGAGGCCCTCCGGGCTGCCAGCTTTGTTCTGAGGTGTCTGGGAGTCAGATGCCCCGAGGTGGCCTGAGGAAGGCCTGACCCTGACCATGTCTGGGGTCATGAGGAACGGCCCTGGAAGAAGAGAC